AAAGTTCAAAAGAACAGCATTTATTTAAAATAGAACTCTTTTGTAACACTGTAAATGTCTTTAAATGTCACTTTTGATCAATTTAATGTGTCCTTGCTGAATAAAACTATTAATTTATTTTAAAAGAAATAGTAATGCAGTGTATTTGAATGGTTGAAGAGCTTGAAGATGTCTATGCCCAATCACTTTCATTATGGAAAGAAATCATGTAAAATATTAGTAAATGATGACAGACTTTTTATTTTTAGGTGAACTATTTAGGCCTGTCACGATAACAACTTTTATTCTTTGATATATAGAGAGTTCAAAAGAACAGCATTTATTTAAAATAGAACTCTTTTGTAACATTGTTAATGTCTTTAATGTCACTTTTGATCAATTTAATGTGTCCTTGCTGAATAAAAAATAAATAAAAATAGTAATGCAGTGTATTTTAATGGTAGTGTATTTTGAGCTTGAAGATGTCTATGCCCAATCACTTTCATTATGGAAAGAAATCATGTAAAACATTAGTAAATGATGACAGACTTTTAATTTTTAGGTGAACTATTGCTTTAATATGATGCAAGCACAGAATACAGTGCCCATTCTGTGCCATCTTAAGAAACACATTCAAACAAGACACACTTTATAACCAGGTATAATCAGTAACGTTTTCATCAGCTAAGATTTGATTAATCAGTGAAGATCAGTGAGGTATTGATAAAGAGCATTTATAAATCTAATGCAGGGTGTCAGTGATAAAGCCAAGCTAAAGTCCACTGTGAAGATGTGAGAGAGCAAGAGAAACTGAAGTCATTGTGTAATGTGTGATTGCTTGAGTAGACAGATAAGCTAAGAGATCTCAGAGCACCGCTTGTGTCGTATCTAGAGGGAAACAGCCATTGTGCAGCAAAACTAAAAGGCAAAAAAGCGGTTTACTTTTATGAGAACCTGAGGACCGAAATAGAAAAGACCAGCTCTTTTTTTCACTGATAATCTTATACTATGTTAAAGATCTGTAATCTCATTTGCATTCATCTTAAAAAATGATCCTTCAACCTAAGTTTGACATTGTCAATAATGGCTTAAAATTCAGGCTGTTCCTCACATAAAGTTATTGTATGACTTTAGAGGACTTGATATATTGTGGACAAGTCATACGTAACATTTTCATGGTGTTTTTTTGTATTTTTTGGATATTGAAAGTCACTATGGACTGGAATAGAGATGGAATTATGGAAAAGATAATTTTTTTATATATATATTAGTACTATACGTACTAGTAGTTTAATAACTACTAGTACGTATAGTACTAATATATATATAAAAAAGTATATAGTACTAGTACTATACTTTTATTCAGCAAGGACGTATTAAATTGGTCAACAGTAACAGTTAAGTTATTTATAATGTTATAAAAGATTTCTATTTTAAATAAATGTTTTTCTATTAATCCATTCGTCAAAAAATTCTGAAAAAAAATTATCATGGTTTACACAAAAATATAAAGCTAAACTGATTTCAATATGGATAATATTAAGAAATGTTTCTTGAGCAGCAAATCAGCATATTAGAATGATTTCTGAAGGATCATGTGACACTGAAGACTGGAGTAATGATGCTGAAAATTCAGCTTTGCATCACAGGAATAAATTAATTTTTACAACATATTGCAATAGAAAACAGTTCTTTTAAATTGTAATAATATTTCACAATTTGTACGGTTTTTACTGTATTTTTAATCAAATAAATGCAGCCTTGGTGAACATAAGAGACTATGTGTTTGGGATATGTGGATGAGTAAAAGGTAACAGAATTTCGATTTGTGGGGAATATAAATTCTATTTTACTTTATTTGGTTTTAAAACACCTGGATCCAGATGTGTTTGTGACTGTATGTGCGTAAACTCACCATTTGATGCGGACTGTTTCAGGATCTCCTCTGCTCTGCTTGCCCTTTGGATTCTGTGTGTTGCCCACTGCAAAAACACCAGGCAAAGCTTAATATATACTGTATGATTCCATTTGTTCCTGACACTAGGCTTTAGACTTGCATAGTGAATCACAATTAAGACCAAAGGGCACTTAACAATGTGATGATACAGCGCATTTCAGTTTGAGAAATGTATATCATCTGATTATGCCACAATGTTCATTTGTCAAAAAAAAAATATTTTTTTTATTTCCCCTTGGTGAGTGTGTGCAGTAGCCTAGTGTCCTGGCAGACGTAGCATGTCAAGTAGTGTTCTGGAGTGTGTCATGCTGTACTTCTTAAACGTTTTTAAAACATTGCCAAAGTCATGTATAATTAATATATATGCAGTTTTATGAGCTCATGAGACTACATTAAGTGTTTGTGATTTTACAAATTCATTACTACAGGTCTACTATTTGCAGCTATATAGCGATTAAAAAAGGTACGTAGCTGAAAGTTAAAGTGAATTGAATGGATTTGTAACCTATTTAAGTTCTATATTGAAAAAATCTAGGGCATGACTTGATTTGATCTTTTTGGAGCTGAAAGGAGGAAAATTGGGTGTTAAAAGGTAGAATGGAGCCAGACTGAATGTGAAATAGCTATGTGACTATTGGTTAATATTATCCTGCACAGCTTAATTAACATCAGTGACAGAAATGAAAGTTGTTTCGTTTGTGGAGGAAGTTACAGCATTTTGATTAAGGATTATGAGAAAGAAAAAAAAGTTTTTCTTTGGAATAATGTGCACATTAAATTTGATGAAAAAAGGTTATGGGCATAATATATCCTATATTTTTATGCCTGTAAATGTTATTTATATACTTTATAGTTGTTATTAATATTTTTAATTAGGTTTTATTTTTATATTTTATTTTAGTTTAATTTTTAGTCATTTTGTTCCGATTTTGACATTTTTATTAGTTTTTCTGATTATTAAAAAAATTCTAAATAGTTACATTTTTTACATTTCAGCTTTTAGTTTTTTATTTCAGTTATTAGCTAATGCAACTCATTTTTATCTCTAGTTTTAATTTAGTTGAAGTTTTTCATCTAATATTTATATTTTATTTCAGCTTTATTTCAATTAACAAATTGTTTTTTTAACAATAACAACACTCATCTTACGTACCTCTAAGGTTTTGAGAAGGATCTTCATGTAGGTCTCAGTGATGCCAAGAGAGATCCCAAACATGGCAGGCAGCATGATCAGGACCACCAAACAGGTGAACCAGACCCTCAGCACAGGGAAAAACACAGCCCAAAACCCCTCCATATAACCACACGGACGAGACCACTTTCACTACATACAGTACACTACAACACTGGGGCAAAATGAAATAAAATGAATGTAATAAACACTTATAATAATGTATTAAACACACACAAACATCATACAGGTAAAAAAAAATAATAATTATAGCATGAATGCACTGTAAGTTGCTTTGGATAAAAGCATCTGCTAAATGCATAAATGTAAATAATAATAACAAAACTTGACTTTTGATGATGTGATACACACCATAAACTTGTATTTCATTTTTAACCCTCTATCTATCGAGGCAACTAGGAGTTTAAGCCATGAAGCAATATATTACACAAACAAATCAGTCCAAAAAAAAGACTAGCTTTTGTTTTCTCAATGAATTAGGCTCAAACTCACCTGGTTTCATGAAATGCCAGCAGCTCTACAGGACAGAAAGCAGAGAATGATCCTCGCTGTCATACTCCTCTGACCCTTACCATGATGAAGACTGGACCTTAAGGTGTTTAAAAAGCCATTTAAGGAACTTCTGCAGCCTTTACACATAGCTATTGGGAAATAGCAATGCTGGAAGACATCATAGACCTGTAAGATTTAGAACAAAGTTCAACAGCAACAATAGAAAACTGCGCCTGTGCTCCATCGTGAGGATAGGTTGTGTAGTGCATTAATGGATCTCTCTTGGATCTCTCTCTCTCTCTCTAGTCTACAATTGTAAGTAATCAAAATTCAGTTTTTAATTTTTTCAGAATTCAAAATTTAAAGTCACAAATCTGCATGCACAATAATTATACAAGAATTACACAAATGTTTACATTTGTTTTACTTGAAGTTTAGCACACACACTTCTGTCTGCTTGGTTAAATGAATGCAAAAAATTCAAAGAATTGGCTTTGTAACTTGTGTGGGAGAGCATGTGTTGGCTGTATGGATATGAAATCTTCTCTAAAATGAGGAAGTCTTTAAGTGCTTAACCAAGATGAGACACACGAACTAGTACCAAATAGTTTTGCTCTGGTAAAAAGGTGTAGTTTAAGTGGGTTTGCATTAGGATATATTAGTTCAATTTAAGTCAAAATACTAATTGCACCTTTAAATTTACAACATGAGCAAAATGTGACTTCATGTCTTAACTCAGCATTCCCGTAACTCAAACAGTACAGCAAGATTCATTCATCAATGGGTTTTTAAACTATTGTCACACAGTCCACTGGAATACTAGATTACTTGGTCAATAGCGCCATGCAGCAATCAGATATTTCCTTATATTTACTGTTGTCCATGACAACATGGTAAGTTATCTGTTCTCATCCGGGTAATTGGAACACCGCGTATTGACGCTCTTTTGTTTCACACAAACAGCATTTTTAGTAAAACGTCCTCAGAGGACGTCAGTAATAAGATTTTTATAAATTTGTTTAAAAAAAAATGTTTCGGCAAAACATTTTAGGAAAAAATTTGTATTTTTTCATGTCATTGCATTATTTAGAGCACTAAAAATAAAAATAAAAAATGATATTTCATTCATAAGTTATGCTATGTCCTTGCAGAGGACATCGGGACTCAATTTCTTTAAAAAATAAAAAGACATGACTGAACATGCATAAGCAAAAAACAATTGATTTTTTTTAAAATCACAAATACATTTTTAGTTTTCAGGATTTTTTTTTTTACCAAACTTTGTATGTTACAAAATATTATCATATTTCCATAAGAGTGTCACTAAATTAATACCAGACATTTCTGAAGACAAAGGAGAGGGAGTGGTCATGGTGAAACATCCAAACGTTTAGTATCTCTGAAAAGCCCTGAATGTGCTCTGTACAGCACATCCAGACTTCAAACTGTGGCATGTATAGTCTCAGAGACGTTCACTAAAATATAATGTCCTCCTATGAGGATGCAGGGTCTCAGGAGGATAATACTCTTATAGATTTTTACATTGTATGCGGTCGCCCTTTACAATCAACTGTATAGAGTTTCTATTGTTTTTCAATACAACACACAATGAGACAGACTTATTCGACTTTTGCGCTCGTGCCTCGTGCGTGAAACGGGGTTCTAAGAACCCTATCATTAAGGTAAAAGCTTCAACATTAAAAAAAAAAAAAAATGTGTCAAACTGGTGACGGGAGAAAATAAGCTGCAAAACTTTTAATCAACTGAACCAATTGCTTCACAAAATTATTCACTTTTTCGAAGAGCTTGAAACGCCACACGTTGGCGACACCATGAGCGATATACAGTTAATGATACTAAGCAAACTGGTTTCCCTTTCATGGGAACTTCGAACTGCGTCCTCTAGGGGTCGCTATGGGGAACGCCTTGTCGTGACCCGTGTCTGAAGCATACATTGAAAAAACACCAACTCGTTGGCCGGCGACAGCCATGACGTCACTACCGGTGCGACTATAGTGTAAATAGGCTCCGGGAGCACACATCATTCTCTTCTTCGTCTTTATTGACTGTTTTGATTGAATCGAGCATTTCTGTGGTAAGAGCGATCTCTATTCATCTCATTATGGCGAGCACTAGCAAAGCGTTTAAGGAGGTGTGCGTCCGTGTTGACGTTGTTTAACATCTGATGACACACACGATCTATGCGTTGTTTGTTTGGGCAAAGAGCACGCACACGATGTTTCCGAGGGGGCAATCGGCGTGCACGGCGTTTTTCAATGTATGCTTCAGACACGGGTCACGATGAGGCGTTCCCCCATAGCGACCCCTAGAGGACGCAGTGTCTCGTTCCCTACTCAGGGAACCATGGTTACATAAGTAACCTGAGATGATTTCTTATATTATTTTAATGTATTCTCATAATCGTAAACACTGGTTTTTAGCCCAAAAACGTTTACCGTTTTCTGCACTTTATTCACTGTTATTTACGCATAGCGGCGAATGAACCGGAAATCCCACACATTCACAGAAAATAACTTCCACATTGCAAAAATAAGGTAGATAAATAAAAGCATCAAAATGCTTCAGATTTTGGATCTACTTTCTGGTCTACTTTCTAAAAAAAACACTTTTTATTTTCTACGCAAGCTTGGTATTTCTTCTTAGAAAAGATGGTGTTCGGTGTAAAAACGATTATTAAATCAAACATATCATAAGCTGATTAAGGAACAGTGTTGGGAAGGTTACTTTGGAAATGTAATAGGATACAGATTACAAGTTACCCTATGTAGTAGTGTAACTATTTCAATTACTTTATTAAAGTAATGTAACTGATTACATTTGATTACTTTTTGATTACTTTTCTAAATGTCTAATGAATGTTTTCAACTGTTCATTCAGGTTCAGCAGGGTTAACCTTACAGTAGTACTACTCAGCACTGATTACTGTCAAAATCCTCAAAAATCCACTTGAATTAAGATTATAAAAAATTTATTTTAAAGCATAGTCACCACAAAATCAGACTTTAGCACCTCTTGAGATCATTCTGAGGTTAAATACAGATTTCAAATCATAACAAGATATAGTTTAATAGCTATGATACTGTTTTTGAAATCAAATCTTTGCATAGCAAATATGTCAGGAAACATTGGCATCTCACAATGCCTTAGGGAAAATGTAATCTTAAAAAATAAAGCATATACATACACCCAAATAGAAAATAAAATGGTTATAGAATAAGCATGTGTCCTATTCTGTGTCCTAAACTCCTGAAACATTGGTGTCTTATATTTTAGAGCAGTCAATGCATTTTGGGATAAAGAATACATTTAATTGAATACAGATTCAATTAAATCTGTATGTCTGTGTGTGTGTCCTTACCAAATGTCCTTACTTATATAGTGAAAAATCATGACAACCTACTAGTGGGGACATTTGACTGGTCCTCACTAGTTAAAAAGGCTTATAAATCAGCCAAAATATGTTTTTATTTAAATCCATTGTTTTGTGAGGGGTAGGTTTAGGGGTAGGGGTTGGGTTAGCTGATAGAAAATATCATTAGCCTGATTTAAAATCAATGGAGGTCTATGCAATGTCCTCACTAACATAGCAAAAAAAGATAGTGAGTGTGTGTGTGTGTGTGTGTGTGTGTGAAAATATTCAGATGTAACCCCCTTTGTAACCGTTAACTTTTTCATAAGTAGCTGTAATTAAGTTACTGAAGAATTTTTTTCTTCAGTAACTGTAACAGATTAGTTACATTTATTTTGTAATTAAATTATGTAACTCGTTACATGTACCGTATTGTCCCGAATATAAGACGATATTTTTTTCTTGGAAATACATCTGAAAAAACGCGGTCGTCTTATATTCAGGGTCTAGACTTTGACATGTCAATAATACACCCACAACAATAGGTGGCGCCAAATACGCATAAAACGAGTGTGCCATGAAATACGTAATGTAATGCGTGTTGTAAAGATCGCGAGTAAAAACAAAAGAAAAAGAAAACCTTACAGCTGCATGAGTCGTGACTGATGCACCAAACTCCCTTTGTGATTTTAAAACATAAGACAGTACCCAGATTTGAAGACTACAGTAAGATTTAACTTCTACTGTTAATAAGATTTTGGTAGGCTACTAATTAGATGGATAGCCTAAATGTCCTAATTCAGATGGACTACCTGTTTTTTTTTTTTTTTAATGGTATATCAAAAAGTGTATATTTTTTAAATGTGATTGTTGGTACATTTTACCAGTTTTTACCATACTTTCAAAACAAAAATTAAAATAGGAAAAATATGCAATATGAAAATAATTGAAGACAAAATGTGTTTTACTGAGAAAAAACAAGATTTGGTTTTTAAAAAGCCTTTTTCCAAAAGGTACATCTGGAAAAAGGGGGGGTCGTCTTATAATCAGGGTCGTCTTATATTCGGGCCAATACGGTAACTAGTTACTCCCCAACACTGTTAAGGAATGATAGAATTCAGAAATCAGCAACACTGACAACAACAACAATGCTACATAAAATGTTATATTTTTAATATTTTATTCAACTATGTGCAGAGGTTTGATTTTTAACTATTTCTGAATGATCAGATTTTGCTCATATATTTATCTGTGCTATTTTAGTTTAACTTATCTGTGCTGTTTTTTTATCTGATTTTGTTTTTTATCTGTGCACTTATTCATCTGCACTGTAAGAAATACTGTACATTAAAATACATAAAGTACATAAATAAAAAATATTAATTTCAGTATTTTATTTAACTATGTGCAAAGGTTTGATTCTAACTATTTTTGAATGATTATTTTTATTTTGCTCACTTTTTTATATATAAATTTTTATCTGTGCTGTTTTTTTAACCTGTGCTCTATTTTTTTTCTATCTGTGCACTTATTCAACTAGACTGTAAGAAATAAACACATAAAAAAAAGTACTGGCAGCTCATTACCAGGACATTATCCATTCATTTTAATATTTTATTCAACTATGTGCAAAGTTTTGATTTTAACTAATTTTGAATGATTATTTTTATTTTGCTCACATATTTTATGTAAATTTTTTATCTGTGCTATTTTATTTTTTACCTATTTATCTGTGCTGTTATTTATCTTTTAAATCTGTGCTCTATTTTGTTTCTATCCGTGCAATTATTCATCTGCACTGTAAAAAATAAATACATTACAAAACAAAACTGGCAGCTCATTATCAGGACATTATCCATTAATTTTACGGACATTTCTGTTAACCCTAAAACCCAACACAATGAAGCCCAAAATTCAAAATACAGGTAAAACACCTGTAAACAATAAATATAGATTCAAAAAATAATTCCTTCAAATTAATTGAAAATAGTATTGTGCCCTACTTTTACGGATTTTTTTTGTGTGCTCTGTTTTTCATATGTGCACATTTTTTCATATCTGCGCTCTACTTTTTTTTTAGCTGCCATTTTTTCCTATTTCTGCCTGTTTTTATGTCCTGTAGCTTTAGTTTTCGCCTGTTCACAAGGTCAGCATTGAGGAGCATCAGCTTCTTCAGGAAGTCTCTGGAGGGCCTGATGCGTCTCGACTTTATGACCTGATCAATGGCATCCTCCACCATCATGTCATGGTAGATCATCAGAAACGCCAGAAACAGAGTCGCAGAGTGGTCGACACCCTGCTTGCAACAAATCAACACCTTACCTGAGGAAACAAAAAAAGAAAGATGGTCAAAAAACTCATTCCTAGACTGTAGGACACTTGATTATTATATAAGATAAGATCTTTCTTATTCATTAGATAAGAAATGGAGTGTGTGTGTGTGTGTGTATATGTGTGTCAGCCCTTACTTGCTCGCTTATCCAAGGCCTTGTCAATTAATTTTGCAGCTGGCATGAAGTACTTGCTGATGTCAGAACAGTGTCTGTCCGTTGTAGGCAAGCTGTAATAATTGATGTGTAAGCCTCTGTAATATCTGGACCCTGTATTGACCGTTTCTACTATGTCTTCAACATAAGACGTTCCCAAGAAGTAGTTCAAGTCCTTTTTGGGCGCTGCAGCATTCAGGATGTGAGTGATGCACATCTCCTGCAGCACATCTCGGTCTGTTGCGGTCTCTCTGCACAAGAACACAACAGCCTAGGTTAGTCTTTCATAAAAAGGATTTATCTTGTAGAATAAATGACAGAACAATGAGAGAAATACGATTGTGTTGCAGACTTACTCGTCTCCGATGAAGACCCTGGGCCAGACGTTAGTGACATGTCTTTGTTTGAGTAGTGTACACTGCTTCAAACGATCCTCTAGTTGGAACACGTTTAAAGGGACGTAGTTTTCCAAACTTGAAAGTTCAGATAACACTTTAGATTCTGCGCCCAAATCCTCTGGAGTAGCCAGATCCCATTCAGGGTATGGCTCTGGAACACTTGGACCCGGGACGTACAATTCCACTGAATCAAATAGATCCTCTTCAAAGTCTGGCTCAGGGACACTTGAACCCGGGCCGTATAATTCCATCGAATCAGCCATATCCCATTCACATTCAGGAGGGTCATCCAGATCCTCCTCAGGGTCCGGCTCAGGAACGCTTGAACCCGGGGCGTACAGTTCCACTGCATCAACCAGATCCCATTTAGGTTCAGGAGGAGCAACCAGATCCTCCCCAGGTTCTGGTTCAGGAACATTCAGGTCCATCTCAGGCCATGCTGAGACCCCAACAGGCTTCGGTCTGTCGTTCTGGAGGAAGGTACTAGTTTTCTTTATATTCCTCACTGTAGCATATTCTACTCTCTTGGTCACAACGAAGCCATGAACTTTCTTAATCTTCATGGCTTTGGCCCTTTCTGACAAAAGAAGAAAAACAAATAATGCGCCATTAGAAACATCTCTCACCAGATTAAACATGCGTATTTAGTCCAAATTGTAAGAAGACATTTCTATTTGCATCTCTTCACCTTTTGGGCTGGCATATGATTCCTCTGGATCAACCAAATCCCGTTTAGGTTCAGAAGGAACAACGAGATCCACTTCAGGTTCAGGGATACACGATTGCTCGGTATCGACCAGATCCAATTCAGGTTCTGGCTTGGGAGCACTTGGATCTGGGACACAAGATAGTTCATCTCCAGCTGCAAATCTTTCACTTCACAGACTGAGATGTCGTCACTGGCATCAACCTCCAGCTGCACACGCATCTCTCCTGGACTGCAGTAACTGACTGAGACATGATCCTCCGTTACAACCTCCAGCTGCACATCTAACTCTTGAGATGCACTGCAGGTCGTAAGGTCGTAGATGGCATCGGTGATCTCAAACTCCAGCTGCACATCTTTATCATCTGATGCCGAGAAGCTGTCACCGGAGTAAAAGGCGTCATTGACGTAAACCTCCAGAAGCACCTCTCTCAGGTCTGTGGACATTGTGTCTGTGGTTCTCATACTGACAGATAAGTAATCTGTATCTGATACTGTCAGTTTAAACTGTTACGTTATCTGATACACACTGTCTGTACAGATTGAATATATCTCGATCTATACGGACTTGCGTTTGTACAAGTGTTGCTAGGTCTGTATTCGTAGACTTTCACTCAAACTCAGGTCTCTGCTGCGAATATCACTCAACAACAGAGATTCTGCCAGCGCGAGGCCTTTTACACAGACTGAGTCTGTGACGTCATAAAACAGTGGCGCGTCTGGTTGTCTTTCCACAGTTGCCATGGAAACGGATTGTTTACCAACAGCAGTTTTCTCTGATTGGCTTATTATTTTCTACTTTCAATATTAAATCAAAAAACGAATGATCGAATGATACACGGATTGCAAAGGTTCACGAAGCAGTGTTTCTAAAGCGCCCGTCACGGTACCGTTCAGACAGAACGCGTTTTGCGTCGAAAAACGCGAGCTTTGGAGCGGGAAAACACGCAAGGTCTAAGCTTTTTTAAAAGTTTAACTTCTTTTAACTTGCCGCGGTTTTAGAACGCCGTGACTTGCGCGAGACTCGACAAAGGGCGCGAGCGCCCATATATATAGGGCTGTTTTTCTTTGATTTAAGTTTAAGTTTAGGCTACACGTAAAAATATAAAATAACTTGCCATCAAATTAATGTTTTATACAGACGCTTTTATTGTGCACAGTCAGCTGGTCATTACCGCATAAATAAACCCCATAATGACCGGCTGACCGCACATTATACGTCCCAAATTCTGGGTTGCATCAACATTTTATGAAGGATAAACAGCTTTTACGGTCTATTTTTGAAAAAATTAAAATAAAATAAATAATAATAAAAAAAAGACTTTCAGGCCATTTGTGCAAAGTGCCATGTAATGCATCCCTTCACTTCTGCAGCGGGTTGTTTTTAGACTTTTATACTCTTGTGTTGATCTCCTCTCCTCCTGCGCGTGGAAACAGGAGGACAGTCAGTCACTGAATTTCTCCTCCCACTCCAAATTATATTCCTTCATTCTCCGCTCACTTTCTTTCTCCGTCTCTCTGACCCCAGATGCCTCCTGCTTTCACCAGAAACTCCCCTCAGGACTGACTTTGACCAGTTCTTCGGCGTCAATGCCGCAGTGCGTTTATTTACTCCGTTAATTTTGCGTTGCAGAAACATGCCAAGTCGGGTCAGCGTTGCGATTTTGCGGTTCAGTTGTGTTTTCTTTCTGGCTGCGAGCCACGTCAAGAGCTCTGAACGGGACTACCTCTTTCCAGACATAGAACAAGGTTTGTGTTTCCATGAAAAAGAATCACACAGTTGTGTTCATTATCTTATTTACAACATTTAGGTTGTTTTATCCACTAAAGGAGCTGGTAAGTCTGATATGCCAAGTGTTTCACTGAGGCGAGCCGGTGTTCTGACGATTTCATGTGGTTTGAGGCTTTTTTTCCCTACCCTTACCCTAAACTTACCCTTAAAATAATGCAAATATAATTTTGGTAGCACAATCTGATATGTAGCATGTTTCGTCGGTACACCTGTTAGCTGCAAGTCCATGTTTCTGTTTCTGAAGTTCTGAACTTAACGCAATCTCACTCTATAATAGCACATTTAACCCTTTAATGCATGGATGGTTCGATTTTAAAGGCAAAGTCTTAAATGGGTCATATGATGCGATTTCAATTTTTCCTTTCTCTTTGAAGTGTTACAAGCTCTTGGTGCATAAAGAAGATCTGTAAAGTTGCAAAGACTAAAGTCTCAAATCCAAAGAGATATTCTTTATAAAAGTTAAGAGTCAACCACGCCTACCTAAAGCGGCTCGTTCTAACACGCCCCCACATGTCTACGTCACGATGTGGGAAGATTTGCATAACGCAGCCCAAATGTTCACGCAAAGAAAGAAGGAGTAACTTTTATTCTAGCTGTAGTATTGTTGCTGCCGCTGCCATGTCGTAAAGGCGCTGTGTGTTTCGTTGTGAAAGCGAAACTACTTAGTTTGGCCTTCCAAAAGAGGACGATATCCGCTTCGTCATGCCCAGAGCTGATCCGTGCTGGTCGCTGAGACAATACATCAACTTTGCGCTGTGGATCACCGGATCGGCTTTCACCATGGACGAAGCAGAGTCCAGCCCAGGGTCGTCACATGTGATTGCCGCAAGCCCGCCGG